ATTTTCTTTGTCAGTTGAGGTTGCATTTTATTGTGTTACAACAGAGTTTGGCTAAGCTGCCTCTGCCGCTGTTTCTGTTTCTGTTTCTGTTTTGTGTGTGTGTTTTTTTTTTTGCTTCTAGTTTTTGCCCTTCAACCGTTTCCCTTGGCCCGCTGCTCCGCACTGAGCGGCAGTTTGGGATTTGGCCTGACAGCTCGCTTGAAATTGCGACTGTCAATTGCATTTAATTCGAGTTGTTGCTGGCGGTTTGACCTTAGCCACAGAGAACATAACAACAACAACAAAAGAAGACAAGAAAACAGAAATACATGAGAAAAACCTAAAATCGACAGCTGAACAAAAGTTAGCTGCAAATTTTCGAAAGCAATGGAAGACACAGATGTTTCTTAAACAAATCTATACGCTTGCGTATACTTAATATGTCGGCTACATTTGCATTGTAAAGCATACGCCCCGTGTGCTGTGCTGAAGGCGAAGCTGCTGCCAACGTTTACAGTTTCAAAGGCAACCTGCTTACAGCTCGACAAGTGTCGAGTGGCTTAATAAACCGTTAAAAACAAAGAGCTTTTTCGCGACTGCTTTTGAAATTTGGCGCCAGCTTGCACACTCACACACATACACAGAAGCACACAGACACATCATCCGTGAGCGCAGTGAAGGCAAACGAGCAGCTTGAACAAAGAAGCACTTGGCTGGCTCACACGCACGCACACACACACACAGAGAAGCATTGTGGTAAAAGCTTTCAAGTGCCAGCAACAAAAATAAGGAAAGCGAAGCTGCCTCGGCTGCTGCGTCGACGTTCGCGTCGTCCTTTTCATCTGGGCAGCGGCATTTAAGAGACTTTCGGCAACCCAATGCGTGCCCCACGCACATACACACACACACACACAGTCGCACAGGCATACATGTTCGTCTGTATTTGTGAATTCGGTGAAATAAACGGTATTCAACACCATCGACTTTCACTAACGCCACCTCGCGGCCGCTGCACAGATTAAATTAACAGCGCTCTGTGAACCAAAGATGCCCATGGTGGGATCAGGACGAAAAGGACATAAGAGCGAACTTGCGAGCCCTTGAGCGCAATGAAGCGTTCGCTGAGACTGATTCGCACTGCCAGCTCTGTGAAATGCGAGAAAGTCACCACAGCAGCAGCTGTTAATGTGGTCCTGACTGTCTGGACTATGCTACAGTTTTATTTGTAGCAATATTCGAGCAGTTTTTGCGGCTCAAAGCCGAAGGCAAGGTTTTGATTGGTGCTGCTGGCATCGCTTTTCTCGTTTGGTCGTTTCGTCGTTTTTGCCAGGCACTTGTCCAATTTGCCATTTTAGCTGTCAACGTTTCGCAGGGCTTTCAGTTGTTGTCGCTGCCCACAAAGCGCTCCTTTGATATTGCATCCCTTGGCATAAATATCGGATTTCTTTTGGCTAAAATATCAACAGCATTGCTTGCATTACTGTTGCCTGCCTGCCTGCCTGCTTTAGCTCTCGACAAGGACATGCCTTTCGCCTCATTTTGTTTATGGTCTTTATTTCTGTACGCCAAAGTTATGACAACATCAGTTAACGATACGTTTGTTTTTGCCTAGCTGGTTGGATACGCATCATAAAGACAGACACACTCTACAAATTCAATGTTCTTTGCAGTCCTGCGCATATGTTTTTCGTTTGCTTTTTGCTGTGATGCTAACGGTTTATAAAATATGAATTCACTTACGAGTATACATCACACATCAGCCCGAGGCCATTAAGCCAACACCACTTGCATCCAAAGGATGCGTTCTGCCTCCTGCGCCGTTCCAATGGCCATTGCAGCGCCTCAGCGCTTTTTATGTTCAGCTGGCCCCATCATTGTCTTCGCTTTTGGTCTCTGAGAGCCCCTGTATTGGTGTTGTTATTGTGACTCGTTATTTTTCGGCTTTTTTCTTTTTGCCTTTTGCCTTATGCCATATAGCGAACGATCGGCACAAAGAACGAAAATGGCAAGCAACTGAGTGTGAAGTGCTTGCTGTCCTTTTGGCCTCTGTGTGGGGTTAAATGGATTTTTGATTGCACACTGGCAAAAAAGTGACGATTTTAAATTGTCCTGAATTCGGCACTTTTAAAAGTGTAGGCTTGAAAAATATAATTAAAAATAGCTAGGAGCCTAACTTTTAAGGAAAACAAATTTGGTTATGACACATACGAGTACGTAAAAGTAGAATATAGTTTTGAGGGCTTTCTGAACTGAACAGATAAATTTGCTGAAAGTTTATAAAAAAGTTACAAGTAAAATACGTTCAAATGGAATTATTTATTATTATTATTATTATGTACTAAGGCTGCAGGAAAAAAAGGCTTAAAAATGTAAATTTCCATTGAAATTTCTGCAATATTGTTATTATAAAAGATAGTATAAAAGTATAATTGTTTGTATTATTATTTAAAGAAACGTGCAAGCTATGCATTGTTCTTCTTTATATTAATAGAAGAAGCAACATTTCGAATTTAAATGCTTAAGCTCGTATTGTCTGAAAAATCGACTTGCTTGCATACTTCACCTATTGTTAATGGTACAAAATAACATTATCAGGAGGCGGGATATAAATTGTGTAGTATTTTTTACATTTCCATTCATAAACACAGTACTTTGTTGTCAATTGAAAAGTTATGGAAGATATATATTCTGGTCATGCTCACGTCTGCAGCAATTTCACATTCAGTTAAAATGATTTGAAATCTCAATGTGGTAATGTGCAACAACTGGACACCTGTATTATTGAATAAAACGCTATGCAGCACACATAAAGTTGCTAAAATATGCAAATACAAAAACTAAAGGATGCTTCCCGCCCTCCGCACTGCTTACTGCACAAACACATTAAAACAAGCTCGCACCAGGTGCTCTAACACCAAAATCCGCTTTAAAAAGCTCCGCAATGGCATATGGAATATGAACAGAGCAATTATTATTTCCCGACCGAGTGTTATTTTAACATAATGCTGTGGGTGGGTCAATGGGGAGCGGTTGCAGGATGAAAGTGATGGAAATACAGAAAAGCTTCATGTGATTTAAAATGCAGAGTTCAGAAACAACAACGAAATTTCTTAATGCAGTAGCCTTGCACGGGAATATAACCAAATAGCATGCTTAGCAAGAGCTAACTGCTGTCACGCACACACACACACACACACAAGCACATATACAAGCAAACACCTACACTCATATGCGGTTGCAGTGAGAGTACATTATAACAATGGCCAAGTGCAAGCATTAAAGCGAGTACGTAAAATGCTTTCTTTGTGGATGATAGTCTGCCGGGTGTTGAGTAAAACTATAAATGGAAAAACGTCGAGCAGGAAAAACAAACGAAATTCGGGTAGAGTGCATGAAAGATGAAGGCAAGGCATTGTTAAGTTGCGGTTGAAGTCCAGACCACAAGCCACACACACACACACTCTCTCACATAAGCATGTCTTACACCGGACAGTTATAGATATGTTACAAAGGAACACACACGCGCGCTCACACTCTGGCAGTCAAAAAAGGGTATTTCATGAAAGATTTAGCATTCAAATGTGCTGAAAAAAAAGAGAGCAGCCTGCTGGAAATGCTTCTTAGGATCGTGTGCTTTGTAGCGTACATTTTGAGGGCTAAATAAAACTACTTAAACGAGTGAATGAACACAAGTAAGAAACATGCTGTGAAACGAGCTAGAGAGGTTCTTTTTTTTATTAATATGCATTTCACTTATGTTTATTTAAAATGTAGAAGATAATGTTTCCAAGGGATACACGCACAACCCAAATACGAGTGAGGGCAAAATTTGACAAACTGCAAGTTGTCAACAAAAGAAAACTGAAAATTCAAATTGCTAGCTGAGAGCTTATGAATTTTTATACTTTAATAATATACTTTTTGCTGGCACTGTACACGTGGGTGACTGCTTGGCAATTTTTTAAAAGATATATATATATATATGTGTGTGTGTGTGTGTGTAACTGTTGTTGGCGCTGATTCTTAATCAGAATCAACTGATCTGCTATGCACAAGCAGAACAAAACCAACGAAACTCTGGCAAAACAAAAAGAATACAGAATAGTAGACGCTATCTATGCAGTCGTATCTGAGTCCTTGCCTTTAGCTAAAAACCTGACAAGCAACAACGTAATTTACAAGGCGCGTTTGCATGTCGCTGGACAGGACGCAGAACTCAACCTGAGCTGAGCCAACCCCAAAAGCTGAGCACAAGTTTTAGTAGTTCGTTGTCGTTTTTTAGTTGCTTGTTGTTGTTGTTGTTGTTGTTTCGCTCCTTTCGCTCGTTGCTTTACTCATATTAAATGCAAAAGTCATTGAGCGCAGGACAGCAGCAGGATAAAAGGGCAGCCCTGTGTAGTCGGACCTGCTGCAAAACAACAAGTTTATTTCCACATCCTTGGACATGAGTTTGCTGTAAAATTTCGTGTTGATGATCTTACTAGGTTATGCATTACTTTTTTGTGCACGCCCAGTATCAGCCCCCATATCTCTCCTATCTCTCCTCTCTCTCTCCCTCTCTCCCTCTCTCTCTCTCTCTTATCTCTTCTTCACTCTCCCTCTCTCTTGCTTTCGATATCGCCGCTGTCTGTTCTTTCAGCTCCGCTTGCAACGCTTGTATTTCCTGTCCATGTAACTTTGATTTTTTGTGTGCTGTCTCTGGGTTAAATCTCGCCAGCGACATGCACCCAAATTCTGTTGCAAGCTCTCGACTCTGCTGCAGTAACTGTTGTTGTTCTTGCTGTTGCTGTTCGTTCGTCTTTTATGTTTATGCAAATTGAAGTTTTGTGCTGCTGCTGCAGCTGCTGTTAACTAATAAATATTAAGTATACGCGCCCTGGACCTTGTTTCTTGTCTGCACACAAATTGAAACATTTTGATACCTTCCAGGATTTGTAGTGGATCGTTTAAAGCTGATGCTCAGATTTACCGATGCATAGAATATCCGTAAGGATTCGGGGGCTAATGGACGTGGCACTTACCTTCTGATGCGCTCTAATGGCAGCTGCTGCGACCGCTTTGAGCGGCAACACAATGCGGGGCGGCGGTGTTGGTGGTGCTCTTGGGGGCAGCGGGCCGGATATTGGCGGCTGTGGCAACGACGACAATGCCGGAACTGGAGGCGGATAAGGGCAATGAAATGCAAGCGGCAGCACCAGCGGCGGCGGCTGCGGTGGTGGTGGTGCTGGGGTCTGGCCCAATGGCGGCATTGAGTTTTTTACAGCAGGCAAGGAATGTAGCTGCTGTGGTGCATATTGCAGCGGCTGTTGTTGTTGCTGTTGTTGATGTGGCACGGGCACACTGAAGGGCACAAAAATCATAGGGGGTGCATTATTGTAGCTGTTGTTTGCGAAGGCAGGCGTTGGCGGATTAATGTTGTTGTCGTTGCAACCATTGGGTAGGCTAAAAGCATTGTAATTGCTGTTGTGTCTGTTGCAGCTGATGTGACAATGTGAGGCTGTTGCAGGTGGCGGATTGTTCAAATAAGTTGTTGACGTGGTTGCGTGCTGCTGCGCAGGCGTCGCAGCTGCTTCCAGGCAGGACAACGGCTGCATCTGCTGTGTTGTTGTAGTCTGTTGCAGCGTTGTGATGCAGCTGCTCTGCGCTGGCTGCTGTTGCGGAGGAGGCTGCTGGTGTTGCAGCTGATGTTGATGCTGCTGCTGGTGCTGCAGTTGATGCTGATGCTGATGCTGATGTCCTGCCTGTTGAGATGCCTGGTGCTGCTGCATGGCAGCGATCACCTGTGGCGGCTGCTGCATACGTGGCACGGGCAAATGCTCATAGCTCTGTCTACAACAGCGACAATCCTGACAGCAACTAGTTGCTGGAGCTGGCGGATTCGCGCTGTTGGTGCAGCAACTGCTGATGGTTGGCAGCACATAGGGACTGCTACTGGATCGCGCTGTGCCCAAGTAGTCCATTTTAGGCGCCTTGCCTGGGGCTGCTGCTGTCTGCGATGACTGCCACTGCAATGCACACGGCAGGATGCCCATTAAGCGCAGTCCCACGGCGGGACTGGCCTTCTGTACAGTTGCTAGGTTCTCTATTTTGGCGGCGTCTTCTCGGCTTGTTCAACTGCAAAATAAAGATAACTTGGAGTGAGTGAGTTGTATATACATGGGTCTAATTGCGATAGTTAGAACCAGTTAAAACCGCATGTAAAGATAACTACTACGACGAAGAAATAGAAAGTAATAGCATGGGTATGAGAAGAAGAGAAGAGAAATATAGCCAGAGTGCGAAAAAATGGAAGAGAAAAAGACAGTTTATCTATCAGAAAGGGGTTATGCAAGTTAAGTAGCTAAGGAGAGAAATATAGAGCGAGTGTAAAAGAGAGAAATATAAAAAGAGATAAATGTTACGCAAGATAAAAGAGAGAAGGATTGAAAATGTGGGAGAGAGAGTTAAAATATAGTATTAACCATAAAAGCATTATTTCATCCGATGAAAATCGCAAAGAAGGGCGCTAGAGATGAGTGAAAATGGGAATTTTCATGGTATACGTGCTCTGCTAAAAATGCAAAATCTAAGTCGAAATTATCTTATTTTGCCAGTGATACACATTTGCACAACTTTATTATGTAGGATATAATAAGCTACAGTTCCATTTTCAGCGATATTAATTTTAAATTAGGCAATGAACATTGCAAGCATTCGTCCTTCGTCATCTTTCCTTTTAACTTCCAGTAATTTATGAATTATTTTGTGTGCGCGGAAGCAAAACCTTCGGTACGCTTGATTACGATTTTGGCTTCTTGAAACAATTTTGCAAAAACAATGCGTTATTTTTTTTTCCTCAATTCAGTTGCTCTAAAATTTGCTGGCATAACGAAAACATTCCTTGTTATTGTTCAGACCCCTTGTGCCGCCTACTTTTCGGCTGCTGCTTGTTGCTTACATTTCCAACATCCTTCGCACCCACGGCCCACTGCCTGCCCGCTGGGTTGGCACTCGTTAGAGACTTTCAGAAATCACTCAAAGTTTTTCAGAACGAGAAAACCAATTTTTCAGCTGAGTGCATTTTAATTTAGTGTACACTCCGTTGCCCCTGTTGGCCCCTTGGCCTGCCATGCTGCAGGAGTGTGAAAACCAAAAATACTATAGGTACGGACCATATGCTCGTACGGCTGCTAAAAAGGTTTGCTTTTCATTGCAACACGCCTGAAATGGCAACTTTGACAAACAGCAATAACAGCATGGCTCTTTGGCCTGCACCTCTTGGAAATGCTGGCAAAATTGGCAGCACCATTCCCCACACCCGTTGGTACGTGCCACCCAGAGCTTTGGCTGGCACCGCTTCTCCTGTTGTTGACTTCTCATTGCGTTCTACCTTCTTTGACGCACTTTGCCAAAACAAATCCCCACAATGGCAGAAGCGGCAGCAGCTGCAGCAACAGTAGCAAAACAATGGAATTTTAAATGTGACAAACATGGTAAACACGTCCAGCATGAGGAGCGCTGCCAGTGCCTCCTGTTGCTGCTGCGCCCACCCCTTCCTGCCGCCAGAATTCAAGCAAATGCTGGAAGCATTTTTCAGTGTACCTTGTACTAGCTGCTAGCATGCTTCTTAGCTACCCAGATTTATAAGTATCAAATTTTTCTTTAGCAACAAAAATGCATCAGTCGAAAATAGGCTTAAAACTATATTACAACAAAGCAACTAGGCTATAAATTTATTTACTTGCAATGTAAATTTTTATTACTATTGGTAAATAAATCAAAATTGAAACCTAATACTTATGGGCAAAGTTCAGTGGAAACCTTTTAGATTTCTAGTCCTTAGTCCTTCAATTTGATATTTAATTGGTTCAAATTAAATTTTTTTTTTAATTGTTGATATATATGATACCTAAACCAATATCAGTTTGATGCTGTTTGTCTATTTGCAATTATCTCTAAAAATAGTAACATTTATTTCCAATTTGCAAATGCTAAGCAAACTCAGGCTTAGGCCACTCACATTTTTCAGCTCGTTTGCCACAATCTTTCGAGGTAAAGGAAAATTATTTGGGGCCATACCAAATATTTTCTAATAATTCCATAAATACTTCAAACGTACAATGAAAAATATTTCCACAAAATTAAATGAAAACAAAAAGAAAAACTTGCAGCTCAAGATCAAAAGTTTTCAAGTGCTGCACACACACATATCAAATAGTTTTATGTACAACACAGCAACAACCACAACAACAACAACAACAAAAACTACAATAACCGAATATATGTATATGTAAGTGCAATAACTTTTGGCGATTAAGCTGGCAGCATCGCAAACTTTTGTTTTCGCAACAATTTGCCAGCGTGTCCAATTTAAATTTTGTGAAAATATGTTTGCTAAACAACTTATCTAATAGAAAGAAGCTGAATAAGAGTTTCAGATGTGTAGCTTAATTACAAAGCGAATAGCGTACAGACCGAAATAAACAGTACCATATAGAAACTGGTTAAACTTTTTACCGAAAAATACATATATACATTTCTATATATATATATATATATATATGTATATGCAAATATGCAAGTTGGGTCTGTGGTTGTTGTTGCTGTTGTTGCCATAGGAGATTTATGCGCCACTTGCACGAAAGCCAAAAGTACACAAAAACTTTGATAAAGAATTTGGTAACATCAAAGCAAAAATTTTTAATGAATTTCTTGGCCGATCCCGAAAGCCTCCGAAACGCACCACACACAAATGTGCGGGCACAGAGGGGACGCAGGGAGGGTTGGGCGCTCGCACAGATGCTGCTGCACAGAGGTAAGGGGTCAAAGGTCTGGCTAGCATGGACAGGCCCCTTCTTTGACCATGGCACGGAAATCGTGTTGCTCGTTGGTGGCCTTAATTAAATTTAAATATTTTATCACCGAAAAATTGCCAGCAACTGCACAGCGACAAGAACAACAATAGCAGCAGAGGCATCGGCGGCATCTCTGGCATGAAAAGGGTGCGGAAATGTTGCCAGTGTACATATGTATATGTGTGTGTGCGGGTGTGTTCCTGATTGTGTTCCTCTTTGTATGTATGTGTGTGCGAGTGCAGACATCCAAAAAATACTGATGTGGGTGTATTTTTCATTATTTGCCAAGCGCTGCAACTTTTTTGTTGCCTCACTTTCACATACTGGCCCGCCCCCGACTCCTGGTGGGCCTTCGTTCGCTGCCTTTGCCACACTTCATATTCAATTGTGTTGAATAATTGCCATACGGTTTTTTGACCAACGGTTTTTGACACTTGCCTAAAAGGACACACACGCGCTCAAGTGACGCAGCCGCCCCGGCCCACACGCCCCTGGCAAACGCTGCCCTCATGCCGCATTTGAAGTTGAACTTCCCTTTTGGGCTCTCGACCAAAAAATGAGCAAAACATTCGACACAAGAGGAACACTGGCAGAGCTGCGGACCCCTGGACACAGCGGCAACAGCAACAAAACATGCCAAAAGCGTTTTTTGAAATATCTTTGTAAATATTTAAAATGTTCCGCACATGCGGGTACTTCAATCATGCACCCAACTGATTCGCCGACGGTTCTAACGGGCTGCGCGGGCGGGCTGTTAAAACTGGTCGGGCTGTCGATGTCTGTTGGCTTACGAGGTAGCTGCTAGGTTAGGGCACGACCCTTGTCGCAGGCGTAAGTTTTAAATAGTTTTTGTTGGCTAATGTCAGCATACAATTTGGTATTCATAAATTAATGAAGCATCGGGCAAAAAATCTCATTGGACTATAAAGTTTTTCCATAAATTATATACCATAGGGCCAAGTGAATGTACGAGATTTAAGTAGGGTATTAAAACATGTAATCCGCATTGTATTTTAAAATCTATCGCATTTAGTTTGTTTTGCAATTTACAAACAGAGATTAGTGTAATGCCCACTCAAAAGGTTGTTAAATTTCAATTAAAAATGCATTCGATTTATTTCGAAGTAGCAAGAAACTTTTATTTTATTGATGCTGAAGAGTAGCCTGTACAGAATGCTATGAACCAAGCTCTACTTCCAGCAAATGTGAAAAGAAAAATAACAAAAAGTTGGCTTGCTCGTAAGTTCCCAAAATAACAAAAGGTGCCCATGTAAAATGTATTAAAAATCAACTGAAAATAAAACTATTGGACAATATTCATTTACATGAAGATCCAAAACTTGCAGCTTGCAGAATGCAATTTAATATGACTTTTAATTTTGTAGTAGACTTTTTTAAGGATGCTATAAAGTATATTGTAAGCGCTGAAGAAGTGTAGTTATTTTAAATTTACAAAATAAATAATCAAAATTTTAAGGTGGCCGGCTCAACATATCTTATAATAACCAACCAAAAATATAAATAAACCCTTAACGTTGTTTGAACAGCTAATTCAAGAACCGCGGTAACGACTCTAGATTTACCACCACGCTCCGAGCTAAAACACATTGAGAATTATAAGTGATGGAAAGACGACATTGCCGGCAAAACCTTAGCCTAGTTTTGAATATTTTCCCAATGCAAGTGATATTATTGCAGTCGTGTGTAACCGACCGTGTAATACTCAACCTCAGCCCATTTAATAGTTTAAAAAATTAACAGTTTATTCACCACATTAATCGAGTTGGTCGGACTTGTCATATCCCCAGGAGGAAAATGCCCCTCTCTAACACTACGATTTGTTCCCGGTGAATTAGATAATTAGGGCGTCTTTAATTCTCTGTTCTGTCTAGACCTACCAGGAATTATCGCCCCTCACTCCTACCTACGTTCACAACAGATACTCTATGCACAATTCTTTTCGTGTACTATGTAAAAATTACAATAGTTTTTATCACGTTTTCTTCGCCGAACTTTCTCTCCCCCTAATAAAATCGTTGCTTTCAGAATACCTTCGGGAACTCACTGAACATTCCCAGCTATGAGTAGGGGCATAGCTTGCCGGACAGGCTAAAAATTTCCCACACCGTGTCGATGATTTCCCATTCCTATCTTTTTATCCTATCTACTTAACACTCTATATATCTAGTATAAATTTCCTTACTTTATTAATAACTTCTTTCTATCCTTTTTCCTTTTTATTGTATTTTCTTAAATAATATAGTTAATTAAGATTATTTCTAATTTTTACTTAAGAACACTTTTTTCTCTACTAACATTAAATTATGAAAATGATAAAAGCATTTAGGCTCTAAGCTGTAGACTCTAATAACGTCACTGACAAAATTAGCTGTGAAAAGGGGCATAGCTGGGTGGAGGGGCAAATATAACACCTCCATCGGTCGGTGATGCTATTAGATAATATTGTATTCTAATTACGCTTTTAGCATTTTCATAATTTGATGTATTAAATAATTAGGAAGAGACTCGTTTTTGTCGCCAATTAATAAATAAATAAATAAACGTTAATGTACAAATTAAACAGTTTTATTGATATGGACGATTATATTTAGCACATTGCATGGGGATGCGAGTGTATATACATCAATATTTTTATTTTTAATTAATTATCACGCATAAATTTAGTTACTTCTTTCCGTCTAACGTTCAATAGTTGATCATTTAATTGACTTGGATGAATGCTTGCTCAACTTGGTTGAAAATTAATAATTAAATTTGTTAAAAAAAAATTATCTGGGAAAAAACGAGTCTTAAATTTGTCAAGCAATTTCGAGGAAACTCTCTTTGTTCTGTAAACTAAATATTTTATTTAGATTATATAAAATTGTGGCTTACAGAAGTCACATTTCTAGCTCGCGTCGATCAATAAAGGAAACATTATTTTTATGTTGCTTGCCGAACAGCAAATTTATATTTGTTGTAAAAGCTGTTTTGATGCCACTTTGCACATTTAGAATATCAAAATCAAAAGATAATTTTTAATAAATTTAAACTGAAAACTACAAAAACTTGCAAGTTCAAACAACATTTTTGTAAAAAATGTAAGCTGTGAAACATGAATGGAACTTGAAAATGTTTGCGATAGATCGACATTGAGCCCCATACTTCAAGCGCTACTCTCAGCTGTTTGTTTGTGTTTGGTTACGGCAATTGGGTGAATGAATAACACGATACAACGAGAAGAACCAACTATGGAGCATGGTTACTCACACCTATTCGCAGGCGCAACGCAGCAAGCACGAGCCGACGCGCCTCTCGGTTGCCTACACCAACACAACGATAGAAATGCCACGCGCACACACACACACACACTCAGACACAAGCCGGCTGAGAACTGGCACACTTTGAGTTGTATCGAACTTTTTTTTTTCTGTGCAGAAACACAACAAAACTCGCGACGTTGGCGGCAACAAACAACAACAGCAGAAGGATATACGCACTGTTACCGTACGCCTCAGTTGCTCGGCTCAGGACAATTACTGCAGACGTTGGCGTTGACTTTGTGGCGGAACGCAGCGTCTCGTGTCGACGAATTAACACTGAAGAGCCAACTTGGCGGTCGGCGCTAGGTAGTTCACTTGGCCTTAGCAGAGCCACAGCTGCACTACCACCCAAAAAGAGGCACACTCACACACACACATACTCGCACACTCGCACACACTGGCCAACCCAAGCAGGCAACAAAAAAAATGAAGCCAGGCAGCTATAAAAGGCGCACTGTGGTTGACATTATCATGTGCAACTAAATCACACACACACATACACTCGTGCATGCAACTCTTTATGTGTGTGTGCTTGTATAAAAAAAAAGCTGCGTCGCACCGCCCCTTTATGCGCTCATTCGCTCGTGCAATGCGGCGTATGAGTAACAAAAACAGACACACACACACACACACGTACGCTCAAAAGTATCCGCCCCCCGTTCACCGCTCGTTTGTCCCATTTATGGCATTTGATATGCTAATTTGCACGATTCCGCTGAAGATGTCGTGACAGAGAGTCGCCGAACGGAGCACCAAAAGGCGAAGCCACCACCAGCTGCTGCTAAGCCGGCTCGGCTCATCTCATCCGTCTGGCCGTTGTCCTGCTGCAGCTGAATTGTTATACGAGAGCCGCTCGTTTCGCTGGCCCAAGTTGCGCTCTGTTTTGATAGCTCCGGCATAGCTCATGGGTGCCAATATTTAAGGCGAAATGTGCGCTACAATATGAATGAAATTTATATAGCAAATACTAAGTCATGATATGATGTCTCTCTCTAAACTTAATTAAAAAGCATTTTGATCTTCTCAACTTACGCTAACAGAAGACAATCCTTACCAGCTGAGAGGCGGCTACTTTCGCAAATTGGCAGGCGAATATTGGCGGACTCGAAACATGCAGATAAGGATTTATCGCAAAGAATGTTCTTCCTACCGGTAGTCAAATATTTAAAGCTTTATATACATTTGTTATGACAAAAGTTTCTAATTTAAAGTACAATTAAAATATAGAAATTCAAATTACGAATTTTCATTTCATAAAGAAACGCAGATGGCATCATGTGGCCAACGACAACCAACTGTAGAGCATTTCTCATGTCCTGCAAATCCATTTTCACTCACACACACAGGAACAATCAACCACCGTTGCGCACGAAATCGGAGCACAGTTTTGTGCGCTCTCAGCTCTCAGCATGCTGCACTACGACTCACCAATACAAGCACAAGTGCCACCAGTAAAACCGCATTGCGAACTGCATATACAGCACAGAGGCGGAGTCTCAACTCTGGACTATGTAAAGACGGCAGATGCTTATATACCAAAAGGGAGGTGGCTGCACAATTCAATACATGCACGGTAATAATTTCTATAGCCAGACAAAATGGCGGCACTCAGCATTTGGCGGCACTGATTGACAAACAGTTAAAATGTTAAACCCTAGTGAAAACGACGCCACTGCGCTTTGTTTACCATTTGTTTAGGGGGGGGCAATACAACAACAGGCCGTAAACATAAACACGATACAGGATAGAACACGACGTAGCCGTTGCGGCGCTCACCGAGAGCGAAAGTTGTAGCTGCCTTGTATCGCAGTTAGCCGACGAGGCTAGGACGAGTGCGATACAAACTGTGGACTCTCTCTCTCTCTCTCGGCTGCATTAAATGCGATACAATGCAACAACAACAAACAGTTGGAGCTGCCGCATATCCTTTTCATCCTGTTGAGCGCGGGTCGAAAGCAGCTGACAACGCGCAGGCAACCGGCGTCCACTCTGACAGCAAATTGACACTATCGTCAGGTTTTTGGCAGGCACATGTGACATTATCGGCCTGCCCACGGACAATGCCGAGACAATGGCTGCGCCCAAAAAGTTGGCCAGCCAAAAAGCCATGAATAATATTTGGCACTTATCTGCGCAGACAGTCGCCCTTCCAACTTTGACAAATTATGCAAATTTCAGTTTTCAGATTTTCTATGTAAACATTTACTTTACTTTTCAGCGCAGACGCTGCCATCTTCATGGCCCAAGTCCCAGCCGCCCATTTGACATTCGTTAAAAATTTCTTATCGCGCGCTTTCATTAACGGGCGTCTGGTCCTGGCCAGAGACCTTCTAATTGTCTTGCAAATTAGTCGCCGCGAGCTCCAAAAAAAGCGACCCAAAGCATCAAGAAAAACGTTTTAAAAAAATGTTGCCAACGGCTGCCCAAGTTGCTTTTGTTTATTTACCAACTGCTGCCGCCGGCTGCTGCTGCTCCTGTTGCTGTTGCTCCTGCTGATCTCCAGTTCCAGCTGCAGCCACATTGATATACGGGACAACGACCGTGAGGCAGCTGTTCAAGGAAATGAAAAGCAAACACCGCCTCGGCATGTGAGTCAGTGCGTACTCAAGCTGTAATTTTTACGCGGCGCACGAGAACGTGCCTGTCAGGGATTAGTCCCAGACATAGAACAGACGCCATCGGGCAGCTGTTGATTGTCAACTGGGCCACCGGAAACGTTAAAACATCCCCGTCTGCATATATTTTTTTAGAATTTCTCGCTTAATCCCCGTGGAGCAGCCAGCCAAACGAAGGCCAATCGATTAGCCTTGTGGTCTATGGTTAAAGTAAAAGTCTTCAAGCTGGCGTAAGCCTCTCAGTACTTAAGTGTTAGATGTACCAAGGCTACATAAATTGTATTGGCCCTTAGCTAAGACCATTTCTAGAATTTAAAGTACTTAATTTTTCAGCCAACTTTTAAATCATACGAAGTAAGTGCTCTTTATAGTAAATCGAAGTATTTAATTAATGTGCAGCCACCTCCTGGAGGCTGTCGGAAGCACATCAGTACTAAAAGGAAACTTAGGAGATTATTATGTTTAATTCATCTCTTACAATTAATTTGTATTCTGAAATACCAAACTCAATACCAAACACTAAAGCTCATATATAATAGTTGCTCGATATTTGAAACTCCAGATGTCAGTCTAACAGTAAAACTGTTGTTTCCTAGTACAAAATAAAAAATTAATGATTGTTAAATACTTAGATATTCTTAAATATTAAACCATTTATCAGAAATATTAGCCGATTGGTAAGCAATGCACAGCCTAAGCCGTAAGCGCTTGAAAGCTTACCCTCTAAGATAAAGGTTCACGCTAAAACGGGGCTTGGCAAATTTCACCCGCAAGTGTGAAATAATCTCGAAAGCGATAAGTTTTTTGTCAACCCTCCGATCAGCTTCAAAATGAAATATCTTACAGAAAATTCTTTTAATACGTGTTTCACACTTATCGGAAAACTGGATGGAAAATGCGGATCAAAGATTATATGGGCCTTGGTTTGGGCTCTCGTTTGTAAAGATCTTTCTGATATTTTAGAAGATTCATTCGCAACTGTGAAAAATACAATAGAAATGGGTGGAAAATTGTTGGAACAAATGTTAATCAGAAAACTTAGAGCGGAAAAGGTATTAATATACCAGCTAGTATGTAATAAATGCTAAGTTCACTCTAATTTCCCGTTCAAATATCACAAGAGTGCTATAAACATTGTTTTTAATTTGAATAAAGATCTGTTCTTTGGTAACTATAAAAAAGAAATAACAACTATCCAAGTGCTTATATATTTTCTCAGCTCTTGAACTTATCTGCTAATTTTCCATCATCCCAGTCTAATTTCAACCACCCCTCAGCAGAACAGCTTGGAGCCTTGAATACGGTCATAATAAAGTCAATGTGCTGTCATTAACATAATTTACAAATACTTGCAGTAAGCGTCCCCGCCTTTCCACTGTCTGGCACTAAATGTCTGTTAATTTGGAGCACAGACGAGAGTCCATTGCAACATCTCATTTATTGCTGGCAACAGAAGACAAAATGGTTGTTGCTCTAATTGAAAAATTATTGGGCCATAAAAAATGTAGAACGCATAAAAAATATGTTTGTTGCTTTCAACAGAAACGACGCAACTTTTGCAGCTGAACGCGAGTTAAACGCGAGTTTAATTAACTGCAGAGTTTTAAGTACTTTTTACCCGACATCCCTGGCATCCCTTCACCTTCACATGCCCTGACAACCTTTCTGACTGTGAATTTAATTCATATTTTCAATAGTTATGTGAATACGAGTATTTCGGCAATGCACATAAAATATGCGACATTTAAGGACACTTTGGCTCTTCCGGTGCCATGGCAAATCCGAGCGGATTTTCGAGGCAACTTAAGAAGTTGTCTGCCATTTTTTGTTCTGCAAATCTTTTGTGCTCTTTTTTTTTTCGTTAATATATAAAAACTTTTTGTATATTTATTTTATAATGAAATTCCCCAAAGTCTACAGAGATGAAATAAAGAGACAAATAGCGAGAGGGAGGGATGAGAGAGTGAGAGCTGCAGCAGCAGCGGAAAAAGCATTTTGCAAAATTACCCTTAAAACAAAAATGCATTATTGTCATCTAAAATGCAAGCATGCATTATCCTGTCACAGGTCCTTTGAGAGTTGGCTTTTTTTTTGTTGCCGTCGTCGCTTCCTTCTTGAAGTTTCCTGGCGTTGCCTTTTCTTTCTGTCTCTATATATATTTTGTTGTCTTTTTGTGCGAACTGCAGCAACGTTTATTATTTGCCACACCGCCGTCCGCCGTCCGTCGTCCGCCGCCCATGCCACACCCACAATGAATGTAGTTGGTGTCCTTCATAAGCCAGGGACCTGGGATCAATTTGCCTGCAGCAAGAAACCTTTTTACTTGCGCATGCAAATATGACAAACACACTGGCAACTAAACACGACACTCCACTCCTTTTTCCATATGCCCGTCCTCCTTAACTCTCTGAGCACTCAGCTCCACGGCTGGCCATCGGCCAACTGCGTCTCGTGTTAATGCTGCGTTCTTGGGGGAAATTATCGCAGCTACAGCCACAGTCATAGCCAAAGGCAGAGCCAGGGGCAGGGGCACGGGCAAGGGCAGGGGCAGTGGCAGGCAGCTCGGCTCCACATTCTCGTGTTGAGTTGGGCAAAACTGGAATTTGGCAAATTACATATTGAAATATTATTGCAGTGTGCCGAAAATTGTATTATGTGTCCCTGTTCCGGTTCCTATTTGCATTGCCCCCTTCCCCGTCCTCGCGGTCTCTGCTCCAGTGTCAAAGTGCGAATTTGACAATTTTTGCAATGGTGCAAGCCAACGGCAGCTACTGACTGGGGACATTTGGCGTTTGAAATTGCTTTCAAATTATTTTGTCAGCTGCGGCAATGTGGCGGCTCGGAGATTTGCTTACTTGGTGATTGGTGACTTGGCCAGCCTGGCGCTGACTTCCGGGCCGTTACTTGCGTGCAATTTGCGGCCAAGGCGAATGGAAATTGAAAAGAAATTATTGGTTATTTCTGCATGCGTTGCGGCTCCAAGGATTACAGTCATAAAAGTTGGCCAAGGCAAATTGCATAGCCGCTTCGGCTAATGAAAGCCTGTGCACAGCGGCACGATGACTAGGTAAACCACAATAAATGCACCACCAACATTGACTAACCGCATGTTGTAACCGACTATATGCATACCCTGTATTCAAACACAAGGGATTAACATTTCATATTATATCTTGTGCACAAACTTTAAGCGAAAAAGCCAATTAGCTTCGCGTGTTCAGAGGGTACGCACGGATTTTAACTAATATACCCTCTGTTTGCTACACACACACACAAAGAGATTAGGAAATAGAGCTCAAGGGAGGGTAGCGGGATAGACAAACCATAGCCGCAAATTGAAAGACAATAAATGTGCGCAGTCATATGGAAAATTGTGATATTCACACAATTTAATTAACATGAATAAATATTGTTACAAGCGGGCGGGCCAGACTAGTACAACAACAACAACAACGACAAGCAAGCCGGCTAACCAGCTAACGAGCTGGGCAACGTGGCGTATGAGTGACGACGAACATTTGATTGTCTGTATGCAAAGGCAACGACAAACAAAACGCAAACAAATCGAGAGAAATGTCGAGTTTTGAGAGCTAACAATACAAAAGCCTCTATATATAGACACGCCCCATACCCAACCCTCCCAGCTACTGAACGAATTCCAAGCTGCCAGCGACATCATAAATCCCTAAAATCTCGTCTGTTATTGTTTGAAACTCGACCTCATCAGCAGCAGCGACTGCCGAGCGACTGTGCCATCCACGCTCATTGACAAGCACTTGAATTCCAAGCAAGAATTCTGGCTAATCAGAGCATTTGCCGGGAGTTAAGCGCGAATGTCACGACTTTGCAGCAGCGTATCTCACGGACACTTCATTTCATCGTTTTGTGCCGAGATTCGCCTGGCAGAATCTGAGAGTGCGGATGAGACGGATGTGCTGCGGATGGTCGCAGGTTACACGGCTTTATTAGAGTTTCGCTTTTGTATTCATGACAATTGTTTTTGTGTAAAGCAACTGGGACAATTTGTTGACTTGACATTTTGTCTAGTAAAAGGTCTTGCAGGCACAGCTCACGCCAAATCGAAGCACCTTTTAAACCCCATTGTTGGTATCCTCAGGTCAGCAGCTATATAGATAATATACAAATATCCTTTCTACATCTTATCTTCTTATAATTACCATTTGAGGTATTAACATGAACTATTTTCTATTTATTAATATTGCATGCATGTTTTATATTGAATGTGCATTGCATGCAAAGGAGGGTATTAAAGATTAGTTAAAATTTAAAATTTGTAAATTAACCATTTATTATTTATTAATAATATAGGTTTGTTTAAATTGACTTTGAATGATTGAAGTCTATGAAATAACTACAAATATGACCGCCAAGCTACTTACTTAAGGATTAGCCTCATTTTCTGTCATACAAAGTAAATCTCGTCATAGCTGAATAAAGTCGAGAGTTGTGAAAAAAAAACAGAAACGTTGTATCGTTTTTTGGCCGATATGAGCTATTTGATTGTGACCGAAAAAAAAGTGCTTTTCAACCATGTACAAATTTAAAATGTTGAAATGTGTGCGATTTCTTTTGTAGTCGGTTTTATTTGCCAGCATCAGTGTATGCGTGTGTGTGCATGTGTGTGAGTGTGTTTCTATAATAGCCGTGTGTATTGCCATGGCAGTTGCGGGAGAGAAGCACGTCCTCACAGAGCGCACAGATTTGTTATCCTGCTAACTGAGCTGATACATCAAAATATTTATCATTTTATATTAAAATATTTTGCGCATCATTTCGCTGTAATTTTCTACATGCTGCATTAGTTGCACAATCCTTCCTTCACAATTGATCTGCCAACTGAATGACTCGATTGCAAATGCATCGTTATTGGACGCGGACAACGGAATCTCCTTTAAGCTGTTGTCCCGATTAAACTTTTCTAGCTTTTGCAAGTTGTATTATTCCAACAAAGA